GCGTTGCTCGCGTTTGATGGCGTCGCTCGCGTTTGATGGCGTCGTGATTACACTTGCTGGCTCGCGCTTGCGCATAAAAAATCTCGGACACAATTTTGGCTAAGTGAGGCTTCTGGCACAGAATAAGGCACATGCACAGAAGGTCGACTCGAGTAACCGCTGCCACGCCATGATTCATCATCAAAATGCTGACGCCATGGTCCTAGCCAGTGCGCGTTTGAGAGGCATTCCTCCCCCTGGACGTCCACCATTTTGAACATTATCAGGGGGGAGAATGCCTCTCAAACGCGCACTGGCTGCGACTATGGCGTCAGCATTTGATGACGAATTACGGGTTACGCCAAAATCGTAGGAAAATCATAGGAAAAACCACGAAGTCGGTCTTCTGTGTACCTTATTCTGTGCTTCTAGTCTATTTTCTATTCTGTGCTATGGTCGAGCAGCTTTCTCTTGTTTTCCCGCGTTTTTCCCTGTATCCTAGGGCTAGGATACGAGGCCTCGATCACGATTTATGAATAAGGTCTTATCAGTTTTTATCAGAAGCATTTGAAGGTACTTTCTAAATCACATTTGTTCAGTTTTTGTAGCTCTTTTCTGTTGTTTTTGGTATTCCTTTGGCTTTGCCTTTTTCAAGTTTTTCTCACTGACACTGAGCTATATATTTTGCTTTGCCCAAAACATAAATGTCAAGACAAAAACCACTTCGACGAATGCCAAGGCCAAATAAAAATAATAGTTGGTTTCAGGTTTCCGACCGACCTGTCATAGATACGGCCAACCATAAACATTTTATTGACATTTCCCAGTAGAGATCATCTTTTCGTAAATAGCAGAATATATAAATAGTCATCAGACTAATTTGTTTACAAATTGTTTTGTTTGCTCAGAATTTAATCATTATCTAGTCATATTAATCATAGTTATACACAAACAGTTGAAAAAAACATTAAAAACGTACATTATTCTGACATGGCAGCTACGGCTGAAAAAAGACGAAAATGCCTTGATTATTCTGTGGCCTTGATGCGTTTGTTTCTCGCGAAACACATGTAGCTCGCTGGTGATCCCGCGTGGCACGTTTGATCACGTGTGACAGTTGCTCATAAACAACTTATGTTTATGCATACTTGAGATACAATTTTTTTTTAAATAAAATGTTTTTCCGACCTACCTACCCATATAAAACATGGCTGTGAAACCTGAAACCAACTATTATTTTTATTTGGCCCAAGCTGGTTTATAACTTTACACGTAGAACTACATTGTATATTGACAGAATTGCTTGGTTTCTTCTTCATAAATGTTCCTAAGAAACTATACGTTACAGCATTTCATCGTGACTGATACTATATTATACTGTAGTCCACTGGCACTGGGTCTGAAATTCAAAGGACCCCATTGGGATACCAGGATTCATAGTATCCCATCTGTGAATCCAGTATCCCACTTCTCGATACTGGTTACCATAAATTCCAAACGCCTGGGGCCGGTTGTATTAATAAAACTCTTAATCACTCTTTTAATCACTATTTTTTAGTTAAATAGTGATTAACTCTCAAATACGCGCTTCTTACTGGATGGCGTTTCCACTAACTATAATTAACTTTAATCACTTTTTTATACAACCGGCCCCTGAATTTAAATTAAAAATGCAGTCAAATTATAAAATGAACGGGAAAAATCACAAGTTAGCGAAATATATTGCGAAATGTAGCTTAGTAATATTAATAATTGCCACCAGATTGCACTTTTTAAATTACATTTGTATGGGCAGAATTTTGAGGACGGTTAAGAAAAGCCTATAAATGGCCCAAAACAATGTTAGCAGGTGATTCAAGAATAATTCTTTAAGAACACTTTAAACTTACAATATGCACCTTATTTTGTGGCAAATACATAAAAAAAGCAAAACAAAAATATTGCTACACAATTAATATTTGGTGACATCAATAACCATTTAAACATTCTGTGCAATTTATGACCGTGGCAAGGACAAATCTAGGCTTGTCTGATTCGGGATATTGGCAACTTCACTGTTAATTTTTCAAGAATATTGGGTCATTCCAGAATTTAACACCATATACCACCCCACCGAGGAAATTGGAACTCAAGTTAACTCCCAACCCACTTCAGATGTCCTACATAAATACTATTACTATAATTATCTTGTCTTAATTTCCTCCTGGCCACAGAAATGTGAAGGAAATGTGTCTTGTTTTGATGACAATCTTAATTACCATTAACTAAAGTTGCATTCCACCCTAATGCATCATACTTTATTATTTTACTCTCACTGTCTTTTGAATGCCAAGAGATTTTACTTGTCAAGGGGAGAGCAGTGGCATAACAGAGGAAGAGGAGGCCCTTAGGCATACAGTACTTGGTGTGGGGGTCGGCTGTTGACTGTTTGAGTGCAAATGTCATTGCTAATACTGAGATATTGATATTATATTTATATTGAATATTTATAAAATGTTTTGGAAAATTTCATGTCTATATAACAATGACAATTACAGTCAATAACACATTCATGTAACAACTAATAAGAACAACTTTTGTTTTATTTGAGATGCAATAAAAAATCAGCTAGTAGCTATATCGTTGTCGATGGAAGCTTTATTATTTTATAGCATTATTAATTTTGCATTTTCCCATTGATTCTTTACCTGCATTTTTTACATTTTCTGGGTGATAGGCCATGGCTGATGGGGGCCCCTAACAGCTGTCAGGGGCCCTTAGTGTTAACCCTGCCTAATGAGTGTTACGTACAACACTGAAAGGGCCGTCAGCACCACATAGCTGCCTACATCTTTCAAAAAGCCTCTAACTCTAAATAAATTATATTGCCTAGCAAGTACTGTAGCAACCCAGTGTATGGAAATCAGGAGCCTCTCCACCAAATCAAGAGTGTTGCAAATGGCCCTTTGCTGATCAAGGTAAAATGCAATAAATAAACATTTCAGTGTGAAATGTCCTGTCCCATCCAGCCTGTCGAATGAGATAAACAGGCCCTTAATCTATAATAGGGTACATTAAGGTCTACTGCAGCTTAACCCATTGAGTTGGATTGTGCCTCTTTTCGAAGTGACTCGACAGCCGGCTGTTAATTAGTAAACTGCTGGCCATATAGTGACTATAATTAAAGTTGAATTTTTATAAGATGAACTGATACCAACCACAAACCCTCCTCTAACCCTAACCTTTTAAGAGTTAGAAAAGGCAGGGGAAAATTTTTAACATAACACTCCGACCCCATCTGTGTTTCACTTTCTGCATGCAGCGCCTTTACCGTATATGCTAACGGCAAGCTCGCTAAAGGCTAACCGCAAACATAACAGTTTTTATATTACGTACTACAAAATAAATTAATTTATATACTTAGTCACTATATGGCCGACAGTTTATTAATTAAACAGCTAGCTGTCTAATCACTTTGTTTATTAATTATTTTATCAGATGCCAGGAGAGAGTACTGGCAGCAGTGGCATAACCAGCTCGATAAATGGGGGGATATTCATATATTCGTGACGTGTTCTGCATTATGAATTTCTTTTGAAATTGATTGTTTTTACGGTCTGTGAATATGAATATATGAATATGTCCCCCCACTTATCGAGCTGGCTACACCACTGGCTGGCAGTCAATGTGTTAACTGATTGAGTCGCAGTGCACCCTACTTTTTTTTACTAATTGTCTAATGCCAGACAATTTACTAGTCATTGGGGAAGCTCTGCAGCTCAATGGGCTAACCAAAAAATCTGACAATGTCTCTAGGTTAACCCATTGAGCCGCAATGCACCCCAGTGCACCCTACTTATTTTTTTTACTTGTCTAACGCCAGATGATTTTACTCGTCAATGGGGAAGCTCTGCAGCTCAACGGGTTAATAGTTTAAATACACTAAATATACTATACCTCAACAGCAATAGTCAATCGTCCAACTTTTTCCCTTAATGCTTTATTATATCTGCTAACATGATTATGTGATCTTTCCTTTTCCTGCAGATCTTGCTCTAGCAACATTTTCCTCTCTTTAGGGAAAAATTTGGTTTTCGTACTTTTTTGCATTGTATCAACCTCCGCTTGGAGTTTTGCAAGGGCGGATGATAGGACATCAACATCAGTTTGTTCCTCCATTTTTAAACCAGGTAAAACAAGACGAGACCGTTCGATCAAATTATGACTGGTATTGGTTGTAGTTAATTTGCCCACATCAGGACAAATAATATCTATCCTTTCCTCTTCTAACTGTTCATATTTCGTTCTCAGTTGATCATTGTTGGCCTTAATAAGTTTTGCTTTGTATTCGAGGTCTTGTATCCTCTTTTCATAATTTTCTTTCGTGATTTTCACTCCAACAACGCACTTGAAATCCCTTGAAATATAAGCTCTCTGCTGTTCTCCTTTCTCGACAGCTTTTATCACACCAAGGTACTCCGCATTGATGTCTGCCAAAAGAGGCTTGAAACTTGTACTTTCATCAATCAACATGTCAAATGCTTTCTTAAATACGCCGAATCGTTCCTTTCGAGAATTATGGAATCCCTCTCCCAATGCTTTCGTTTCTTCATGGATAAATTTTTCGATATCTTGCACACGTCGATCGACAAAATATCCGCCATGAGCATCGCAACTGCACAGCCGTGGCGAAATTGGCGGTAGGGAATTAGTCTTGGCATACTCGCTACTTTGTGTTTTTCTAGAAGATGCAGACATTCCGTTCTAATTGCCGTTCCAGCAGTTCAAGAATAAAAATTACAACATTTATATTCCAAAATGTGTGATAAATTTGTAACATTGCAACATGATCCGCAAAATAACACCGTTGCCATGGTGAAATGACGAAGGCTGAGCAACCGCGTCGGTATTTTAAAACTATTGAAGTTAATTTTGTTAATATGTAGGTTAACCGCCTAGCTTTTGTAGAATTAACATATTCGGAAAATCGGGTTGGCCATTCGGAAAATTACGGCAATAATAGTATAACAAAATTTTAGTTGTTTAAACAGAGAAAATATTATAAAATGGTATTGTCAGTATAAACCATTGGTATAAACTGACTTACGAAATCACGGCATTTACATGGATAACGTAAAACAAATCGTAAATCGGTAAATGTTTTTCGGTTTATCACTTCTCAGGGCCGTAGCAGTCGGGGGGAGGTGGGGGACTGGGGGCAGCAGCCCGTGACTGGATCGGGGAAAAGATGTTAGTCATAGGCATACGAGACCAGGCTCATCGAGGGCCGAGGCGGAGGAATTTAGAACATTCAGAAAAATTTTATCACAATTTAGGTTATTTTATTATAATTCTCTATAAAAAATCGGGGACGAAACGTTAAAATTAAGTGTCCGCTGGAATGGGTCGGCTCCACACACTTAGTCACTGTGTGTTTATTGTAGCTGCATCATTATACAACTTCGTCACACAATATTTTCTTGTAATTCATGTTTGTTTTGAATGTTCTTTTGACAGCTGCAGTACGAGGAAGCACAGTACCTGGACAGTAAAGAATACTTTTTGCACTCGCTTTAAAATTATATAAAATTGAGTTGCCGGTTGTAAAATATCAACTTTCTCTCCCCTCCCTCACAACAAATAATTTTCCTGCCCAAAATCTCGACAGCCACCTGACCTCAGTGACCTGACTAGATTCAAATTCGTACCCAGGACTTCTAAGCGTATCACTTACAGAAGTCCAGGTACGAGATTGGGTTGAGACTGGGTTGAGGGGTTCTGAGAACCACAAGCATGCGAGATTGGACTATACTCTCTATGAGAGTGATGAGACTTTATGAGGCTCCAAGTCTATATTTTTATTATTATTATTATTATTATTATTATTATTATTATTATTATTATTATTATTATTATTATTATTATTATTATTATTATTATTAAGAATGGACAAATCCGGAACTAATGAACATTTAAAGTAACTATTTCTGTAAATAAGTAGTAATGTTTGTATATAAAATTATAACCATGCACGTATAAGTGATTCAAGTAGTCAATTGCAGGTTACCTCAAGAAGTGAGATTTTGTATATATCTATAAATGTTCTATTAATAAAGTTTTCATTATTACTATTATTATTATTATTATTATTATTATTATTATTATTATTATTATTATTATTATTATTATTATTATTATTATTATTATTATAATAATAACCCGACCTATCAACAAATGACGAATGTTATACGCAAAATGAAATCGTCTGGTTCTCCTTGCCCTCTTGATCAACTTTCTATAATAAGTTTCAAGCATTGTCCTTATCTGAGAACTTACCTTCCTGAGCTAATTCACGATATTTGGCTATCTGGAACTGTCCCAACTGAGTGGAAAAGAGCATGTACCATACTAATCCACAAGAAAGGCAACAATAATGACCCTTCAAATCCATACATTTAAAAGTATTTACATCTTGTCTCCGAAACGCAGTATACTCCTTCCTCGCATCTAATAACTTCGTCGAACACAACATACAAAAAGGCTTCACCCCCAACCTATCTGGCACTCTAGAACATACTGCACAAATGGCTGACATTATTAATAAAGCTCGGATCAGACAACGCTCTGTTGTTATCACCCTACTTGATCTTAAGAATGCCTTCGGCGAAATCCATCACAACCTCATTCAATTCGTACTTGACTGCCACCATATCCCTGATCATATAAAATTTGTTATAAAAAGTTTATATACTGATTTCCAAACCTCGATAATTACCTCTGAATTCCGCACTCCTTTTATGACAGTTGGCCGTGGCGTACTGCAAGGAGATTGCCTCAGTCCTCTTCTTTTTAACATGTGCTTCAATACATTCATCCAGCATATCAAGGCTGAAAAGTACCGTCAATTTGGGTTTTCCTTCAAATTACTAAATCCCATCCATTCGTTCCAGTTTGCTGATGACGCGGCTGTAATTACTGGCCAAGAATCCGAAAACCAACATCTATTAAATCGATTTTCTATCTGATGCCAATGGTCCGATATGATTATCCGAGTTGACAAATGCAGTACCTTTGGCATTAAAAAAGCGATCACAAAATCAGTTCAGTACTTGCCAAAACTCCTCATCAGCAATCAACTAATACCAAAAATCACAATTGGAGAATCATTTCAATATTTAGGACGTTACTTTGATTTCCACATGTCGAATGATAATCACAAAACTGAACTAACCACCCTACTTAATGAACTAATGTCTGATATTGACTCAAAGCCACTACACCCCAAAAATAAACTGCTCCTCTACAGTCGCTACGTCTTGTCGAAGTTAGCCTGGCACTTCACCGTCGCAACACTCTCTAAAACATGAGTTACTGAAAATATCGACTCTATTGCCAACAAATATATCCGCAGATGGCTTCAAGTACCAATATCAGGAACACTAAGTACTGTCTTTCTAACAAATAACAAATTTGGCCTGAGTATTTGTCGTGTATTTAGATTATACTTTTAACAAAATATGAATAATACATAAGCATGGCCGATCTACATATGTAATGCGCATGTCCGTGCGTATGACAGCTGTCCGTCTATATCTATATATCTAACACCATCTCTCCTCTTAAGGAATGTATCATAAAATATTGTTCATGAGTTCACTATCGTGTTCGAACAATTATGCTAACCATAACAGTAAGTAATAAAGCAGTTCTCTATGTAGTTTTCTTAAACAGTTTTCGGATCAAACAGTTAAGATCCCACCTCACGGGTGGTTGGTGTGATCTAGTTGGGTAGCGTTGTTCAGATCCTGTTGTAGCCCTACCGGCTTCTTGTTGTTGCACTACTGGTGGATTCGTGGCTAGTTCGATATCTGGCTCTGCGACAATTTCTTCTGCTGGTGCAATATTCTGGCCAGTCTCTCCGAGCTCTGGATGAGGTTCAGCCGTATCATCACTCTGGTCATTTACTTTCACACTCGAGGCTCGAAGCTGGTCGATGTGACGTCGCCAAATTCGATTTGGACCAACTTTTATCTCGTACGAAAGGGGTCCCGTTTGAGCTAGAACTATGCCTGGTAGAAACTTGTCTTTCCCACTGTAGTTACGTGCCATGACAGTCTGACCAATGGATAACTGACGTGTGGGGGAATGTCCTTTCCTCCCCGCTTGATCGATTTGCCTGTTAATCACTTTCCTTTGTAAATCAGGTTTCACCAAATCGAGGCGAGTCCGTAGCGGTCTGCCCAAAAACAACACGGACGGTGATTCTCCAGTCGTCGAATGCGGGGTATTCCGGTAAGCCAAAAGGACCTTTGCCATATTGGTTTTCAGCTGGGATGCACTTTGTTTCTCGCATTTCATAGCATGTTTGAAACTCTGAACAAAACGTTCCGCTTGACCGTTGGTTGCAGGGTGGAATGGGGCGTGGTAATATGTTTGATACCATTAGTCTTCAAAAATAGTTGGAACTCTGCGGATGTAAATTGTGGCCCATTGTCGGTCATCACCTGTGCTGGCACTCCATATCGGGCAAAAATAGTTCGGA